CTTCTGTTGTCAGCTTTACATACTATCGTACTGCCATAGCAGTATTTTCCCAGCTGCTGCAGACAGTGAGTTACACCAGAGGGAATAACGTGCTCCCCCCTCTCCTGGCATCACCACTCCTGCTTCAACAGTGGGTCTGTCTTTCAGCCAGTGAAACAATCAGAAACCAGAGCAAATGGCACAGGAGAAATGGGGAGATGGTGCCAAATAAGTTGTCGAGCTAAAGAAAGCCCTTCTTGTTTGACAGCAATGGCAGTGATACTTGTCACTAGACCATGTGCCACCCACTGTCCTGGGCATAGCAACCTTCCCAAACACTGAGGTCCACGTCTCCACAGCTTGAGAGCTGAGACATAATAGTGTATCGTCATGCTTTCCAGAGACTAAATAATGTATTGTTAACGCTTAAGGGAAAAAAAACCTTTGGCTTCAAGTTTTGAGGGGCAGGGAACAGCAAGTTTAATTCCTCTTACACTCATATTATTATTTCTTCTTACATATTCCTTTTGGAAAGTCTATATATACTTTTTAAACCTCAGCTTACTACCCTAATCCTAGCAACTTCTTCTGCATCCATACAAACAAAGTGCAGGTTTATCAGCTGAAAGTTGCACTCAAAATAAGTCCTTAAAGTATCCCTTCATTCTTAAAAAGCATTTGTTTTTCTCTCTCACAGCTGAGTTCTTCAGATTCTTTTTTCTTTTGTAATATGCCCATCTTCAAGCCACTGCAGGTAGATAGTGGCTCCTGGGGAAGGAACGTGTGTTTTTCCTGCTGCACAGGTTCTGCAGTTCAGTCCAAAAGCCAACAATTTAAAGACTCTGGTAACACACAGCATTGAAATTAATCTGCCAATGTATCACCAGAATAACAGCATTGTCTGGTCTTAAAATTAGTGCTTATCCATTCTCAAAAATCTGTGTAGCCCAAAGCAACAGAAAAAAATCTTAAAGCACATGACATACAAGGAAAAAAAATCTGGGGAGAATAATACACCAATTAAGTCTCACATATCTTGTTTAACTGCTAATTGGGGGCAGGGTGAGGGGAGGCTGGTATTTAGTTGGTTAAAAGCTGCTTCAAACAAGCCATTTGAAGTTATCACAGAATCGTTGCAACCTGAGACGGAAGGACCCCTGAAAGCACCTTGGAGCACATTCTACAAATCCAAACCATGACAGCTACCTCCTAGTAGAGCTGTGTTGGTCCCTTTCTCTTCCCCTTTCACAGAAAATTTCAGTAGAAAGAGTAACTTTTCAGCATTTGTTCTAACTGAACAGCTACTGATTAGCTTCGCAGCAATGGAGGAGCACCTGATTATACAGACACATGGTATACTAATTAAGAAACTGCTATATCTGAACCTATTACAGCGCAAGTAACAAAGATTACAGAGAGATGAATTGAGGGAAATATGCTAGCCAGTGTTTCACTGGCAAAAATATTATGTCAGTGAATAAATTGTACTATTCAAATTAATAAAAAAAAGTTATGGATACTTGATTTCTTAAAAATCCAAAACATATGCTTTAAAAGTTTATAAATGGAAAAAGAAATTCTATTTTCTAAAATATATATTCACAAAATAATGTTGTTATGTCAGGATCAAAATTGCTTACCATTGACAGAACGAATTTTCTCACTGTTTAGATGCTACTTATCTCAAGACACTTTGCAAGCTGGCACATTTAAAGATACTTTAAGTATATAATAATTCTAGTTATTCATGGAAATGTCCATGAAGCTATGACTTTTATTAGAAAATAAGAAATTAATAGAAGCAAGAATTCTTTTTAAATAAGAAAGTTGGGAAGTTACAAAAAAATGCTGAATACCAAAGATTTAATAATCTATTTCCAGGCAACGAGGGAAACCAATTATTTTTTATAATGATGCATAATTACAAAAGGTTTTATCTGGAGGTTGCAAAGGTTACTTTCCTCCCCAACAAAAATACATTTCCTTTCCCAGAGATGATCTCTTCCACAAAGGATTCTTATTCTTGAGCCCTGTGTAGAACAAGTAGGAACTTGCTCTATATTTAGCATTTTGGTATAGAATCATAGAATGGTTTGGGTTGCAAGAGACCTTTAAAGGTCATCTCGTCCAACCCCCCTGCAATAAACAGGGACATCTTCAATCAGATCAGGTTGCTCAAAGCCCCATCCAACCTGGCCTTGAATGTTTCCAGGGATGGGGCACCTACAACCTCTCTAGGCAACCTGTTCCAGTGTTTCACCACCCTCATCCTTATATCTAGTCCGAATCTACCCTCTTTTAGGTTAAAACTGTTACGCCTTGTCATATCACTACATGTCCTACTAAAAAGTCTGTCCCCATCTTTCTTACAAGCCTCCTTTAAGTATTGAAAGGCTGCAATCAGGTCTCCCCAGAGCCTTCTCTTCTCCAGGCGGAACAACCCCTACTCTCTCAGCCTGTCCTCATAGGCAGGTGTTCCATCCCCCGATCAGTTTTGTGTCCCTCCTCTGGACCCGCTCCAACAGGTCCATGTCTTTCCTGTGCTGAGGACCCCAGAGCTGGACGCAGTACTGCAGGGGGGGTCTCACCAGCGCAGAGGGGAAGAATCACCTCCCTCAACCTGCTGGCCATGCTTCTTTTTATTCCCTCTGGGATACAGTTGGCATTCTGGTCTGCAAGCACACATTGCCGGCTCCTGTCCAGCTTTTCATCCACCAGTACAAAAAGAAGGAGCCATAGGAACATGAGCCAACTCCCCACCTGTTCAGATTGTGCATTTCAGTAGCCTATTGGGGACAACTTGGGAGTGGATATTGTTATCTCATAGCTTTTTTCACCTCTCTTCAAAGTACTAACTTTGACTAGACAAGTAGGAAGATCACTCACCCATGATACACAGTTCACAATGCTTATTATTGAGTTTTTTATGGATATTTTAGGTAATAATGCCTTCCCGTAAGACAGAATGCAACATTAATTATTTAAAATTGACAAATTTAAGGCACATCTATGGCTAGGAGAGGACAGCATCCCCTTCTGCATGTTAGCACTGCCAATTTTGAGTGTCTTACTTTCTCTAAAGGCAGTCCTGGCACCCAAGATAAAATTCTAGCTGTTTGAATGGAAACAGATGTGGTGTAAACTGTGGTAAGCCAGAAGTGTCCTATTGGTAAATAAAGCCTTTTCTCTCTTTGACCCAGAAGTTTATAGCCAACAGATTTTTTTACCAGGTAAGGAAGACTTCTTGCAGCACCTTCCCTGGTATGAGAAAGTAGGAAAAGAATGATGGCTTCTGAATAATTTTACTTTGTAGTGCCACAGGGAAATATCTAGGCATTTAAGGGACTGAGTTCTTTGCTTTATTTCTCTTGCACTCATGATCAAATCTCTAAGGGTGCAGAAAGCCTCAGCTGTTTTACAATGGCACAGCGATGAAAATGCATATCTCGTACCAAGCAAATATATAGAAGAAAAATTGTCCTCAATTCACTTAGAAAATAGTTAGGTAGTATCACCTCTAGAATGCTTTGGTTCCTAATACTGGGAAAGACTTTGGCCCCTAGAGATATCAACAGGTAGGCTGAGCACGCCTTGTGCTGAATGGGTGCTGAAGTCCCTCAAAACCAAATGTCTGCACAAGAGCTAACTTCCTCAGCAGTGAAGTCTCTTCTCTGACCTTTCTATCATATGGGATTCAAGAAACATGTTACAATCCACTGAGGAGAAGATTGTCTTTTTAATAAAATCCTACTTCTAAATCTAATTTTCCCTGGAACAAGGCAAGTCACTACAGGTGGTACTCATTTTGCCTAAATTAGTTACCTATCATGAATATCTCCACCACTGAGTTAGTCACCTTGGACTCCCCTTATACTCAAAAGGAAGAAGGAAAATTGGGGGGGCTGCAATATATCTGTTCTATTGTAGACAGCTACATTAGTCTTTAGAAGGGCTTATCTTTCTCCACAGATTACAAATGGAGCCAAGTTATATCAACCATATCAAAAGTTGTGTCCCCCCATGCTAAAGAGCTCCCCCCCACGCACAGGTTTGGAGATGTTGTACAGCACATTAAAACACCAGTTGCATGGTCTGTGGAAGCCTGGATCCTAAGACTTCTGCAGCCAAAAGTGAAAAAACCATCAGTCACAGGGAAGAAACAGTTACACTCAGCTATCTTTGTACAAAGCTTGCTAAGAAATTATTCTTAGTAAATTATTTCTTACCTCGTAAAGAAATTATGAACATTTGGGGGTTATTATTAAGTTTCACCATTGAAACAGAAGCCTGAGAACAATGATGAAAATTCAAAAGGACTGAATAGAAAGGCATAAAAGCATGAAGACAAAAAGGGACCAACATACTCAACAACCATTGAAACAGCTTTACCAAGACTTCTAGGGACTACCGAGGTGAGCAACCTCAAAAAAACCATAGATTTAGTCCTACTGAATTATAGAAATTATACACAGGGGAAATTTAGGGTTGGAAGAGCCACAGAGGCAAGCTGGAAAGAACTTGGAAAGTTCTACTCTTGATGAATTGTCCTTCATTGACCACAGACCAGGAAAATATTGCTGAAAAAATCCAGTGTAGGAAACCCAGCAGTGAGACAATGCATCGGTGCACTATGCCTGTCATAAGGGAAACCTGGGACATTTCTAAAGCTAGGCTGTGAACTCAGCACCTTGAGCAGATGTCTTCTGTTGCAATACATAACACCCTGGTATTCAAGCCTGTGGCTATAAATGATGCAAAATATCCCTATAAATTTTGAGAGATTTTTAATAATTCATGTCAACACCTCAGCCTTAGCACCAGAAAAACACCCATTTCTAAAAGTCAGAAAATATCATGACTAAAAATAAAATCTAAATTATTAGTTTAAAAATTGATGTTTAGAGACTGAAGGAGAGTGGGCACTTCCATCTGAGGACAACATTGTCGTAAGCACTATTCCGTTTCTATTTAGCACATATTCAAGGCAGTGATAGTAAAAATGTTTTCATGCTCACACTTACCAACGATTTCACTTGGCTCCTTATTGTAAAGTTTTTTGTTCCAGTAAAGAAGTCTGAGAAAAGGAAAGGAGACCAGAACAACAAGGCAGATGCCAACAAACATATGCCCTGTGAAGGCTGCAAAATCCAATCCCTGGAAATAAAAGTGAAAACCTAAATTAAAAATCAGTTGTTTTTCTATATTACCTACAGTGAAGAGTATTCAACTATATGTGCTTTAGCAATCAATTATAAATATAAAGCAATAAAGTAAGCTCCAAGTACAGCGTATGCTGTATTTCATCTGTTTCAAGGAGACAAGCCACATTACAAATTAATCCAGAGAACTAAAAAATAGCATTACGAGTTATTCTGAAATAAATTTAGTGTTCCTGACATGGACAGAAAAAAAAAAGCCAAATGGATCATTAACTTTCACTTAAATCACTGTAAATTCATTTTAAATCACACTGAATCACAGAAGTACTTTAATTTTAATGACCAGCTTTTGTTTTAAACTGATGACAACATGGATTTTTACAACAGTTCTATCTGAACTAGTCCAAATTCACCAATATTATTCTACAATAAAAATATTATATGTCAATATTCTGTTTATTTTTCTTCCTGGTTAATAAACGGACATATTTATTTACATTTTGCATAACAAAACCCTTTAATGAAGGGGTTCTCAGAAAGGTTAGGCAGAATTCATATTAAAAAGCTACTGTTTTAAGCAATAAGAATGAATAGTGACAACCCACCCTAAAACTTTGAAGTTAGCCAGGCTTTGATGAGGACATTGGACTAGATGACCTCCAGGGCCCCTTTCAACTGAATTATTCCATATTACACACACTGTAGCGCATCAGGGTTAGTGTTTGGGCTGGGATTTTCTGAAGTAGTCATGACTAGCCTGTCCAAAAGAAGTTGTCTGTGAAGCTCCAAGGGGGATCACATCCAAGTACTCTGGTAGCAAGGAACTGTCTTATATTCACAGAGCAGAGGTTGTCTGAACTGGTGATCCCAGCAGATCAGCTCTGTGACACTTGGAAGAAAGCATGATCTGAGTCCCGGATAGCCCAGGTTGTCCAAGCCGAATTTTCAGAGCACCCACTGATTTCCCAGAGACTCTAGAAAGTCATGGGTTCTCCCTGTGCCACACGTCTATGTCTCTAGTGACTTGCCTTTTACCAAATACCTGTGTGCTACCTATAGACCCTTCTGCAATGCCAATACGTATTACAAACCGCTTCCCATGCAGCATCAGCTGATATTACCTGCTGTGTGTTAAGATTAATGGGGACTTACTACCTTAAATGTTCTTCTATATTGTCTCCTACTAAAAGAATTTATGTGGAAATGTCCCAGCTGAAATGTCTCTAGTTCAAAAAGGAAAAAAAATGTTTCACTATTGCACCACGGGGCATAATAAAAAGACACACGACACAAGAAACTGCTTAAAGTCATAAAGAACTTTTGCAGCCAGATAAAGATTAGTGCTCTTTTGCAAAAAAATCCATAGTTTGCAGACAGTCAAATAAATCTCAAAACATAAATAAGCAGACCTAGGATTAGAATTTGATCCTATTAAAAATACAGGTTTCAGCTTCATAAGCTAAAGAAAATCACCCTTAGTTGCTATTTAATAGTAGATTCCTTGTCGCTTCTACTCTCCAGCCACTAGAAGGTGAAACCATATACCTATTCATTCACTGGCCTTTCATTGTAACTCAGTTACTGCCATTTCTTTTATGAAAGTAGAAGGAAGACTCTTCAGGAATTGGAATAAGATTAGTTTAAGAATCAGACAGAAAAACATGATACCACAAATGAAAATAATATACCTTCATTCAGTTTGCCTACATAATAGGTCAGCTAGTTAAAGGTCTGACATCTCTGCAAGACAGACTTTACAAGTCAATTTTTATAAATGCTCAGAAAGACTGGCCTCTGGGCATCAAATCAAGATTCGGAGCTACAGGAGACATTTCTATGAAGGATGAAATCAACATTCATAACTCTAGGAAATTTACAAATAACCACTGGGGAAAAAAAAAAAAAAAAAAAAAAAAAATTCTGCAAAGGCCCAATGTTTGTAAGACCTGCCCCCAAAGTATATGAAGTCCATACCCACCATGTGTATTTCCTTAATAACAGCCATTTAAAATACACAATAAATCTAATTTTTATATGGGTTGCCTCTAAGATTATGGCCATAAAGAAAGATCAGAATCCTTAAAAACAAGGTGAACTGGCCTTGGTTTGGAAATTTCTCAAGTATTGGCAATGTGCCATTAAACAGTCCAGGAAGTATGCAAAATAAGTATTCAGTTTTGTATGGTCTTTAAAATGGCCTAAGGAGAGGTAGGAAGCTGAAAGGAATTAAGCTGTAAAAACACTGAAGCTAACCCAGCCAAAATAGCAATGCCTAAACCAACTGGAAAAAAATTTATCCTCTGAAAAACAAAATGACTGGGAAACAGCTGGTTGAGGAGCAATGAAGTGACTCAGAGGTGGTCAGAATATACTCAAACCAGAATTACCAGAACCAGTAAAATTACTTTCACACTCAACCTAATCTTACAAAGAGCCGTGGAGATGAAGCTTTTCTTAGGCTGGCAGCAATGTGCCCATGTCACAAAGAAGGATGCCAGCTACCAGGCAGAGTATGTCGGCAGAAATTCTCTGCAGAGATACTCAGGCATAAAGATAATTGCTAATGTAGGAAACAAAAAAGAAAAATAGGAACCTGAAGAATCCTTGGAAACTCTCAAGTTTAAATATGTGATGTCTCCATCACATGTTAATGGAACTTGAATTTAAGGAAATGGCTCGTTGCAAACAAATGCAAAGATTTACAAAGTCACTTGCCTCTACATTTTTAACATTACACCAATTTCAGAGCAAAACAATTGTACTTTGTTATTGAAATGCCACAATGCAGAAGCTTCTCAAACAAAAAATACAGCACAAGAAATGTGTCACTCGAAACTCACAAAACTAATTTCCCTGTGAAAAGGAAAATCACATCAACCTAGAAGGCAAACTGAAATGCTGAGGTTAAGAAGGAGGTCTCAGGCCTGACTGATGGTTGAAAGGAATTGAAATGACATGGAGATCACAATACTCTCAAAAAAAATGTCAGGATTAACACAGCTTCGTGACATAAGAGCTGCATAGATGAGCCTTAAAAAGTGATTTGCAGACACCATCACATAAGAAAAAAAATTGTCTACTAGATTTTTTGGCATCCTATCCAGGAGCTTACCCAAAAGTTTCAGAGAGTACCTGGGCTGAGATTCAGGATTTTGTTAAACTTCATAATATCACCCAATTGATCCTTCTTCTCTCTGAGATCCCTGGGGTAAAAGAAAACACACTGCTCTGCTGCAACTGCGGAACAGCTTTCCAATTCATCTGAAAAAAAATCATTTTCTAACATGGAGCATGCTTATTTCAGGAAAGAGCTTGCATGACAGTGTTGTTTGTCATAGCACAAGGCTGGATCCAATTCTCTTCCCATCCCTTGCTCCCAGCTTTCCTCCCTATTACCTCCTTGCCTTGCTCCTCAAGAGCCAGTGAGTGAAAAGGAATCCTGACGATGGCTAGCCTTGGACAACTGGTACTCTGTAGCCACGAGGAGGCTGAGGACTACTGAGTGCATGCTTTTTTATGGCTGATATCAGAAGGGCTCACGGTGAAATCAGACCACTGCCCACCCTGATGCTTTGGGCTGGGTGCTTAGCACCAGCCTCTCTGCAGCACACGGAATATGCTTTCAGGCAAGGAGAAGGCAGATTTCATCCCAGACATTGTCAGGTAGCTAGCAGTCAACTGGCAGCCTCTGGAGAACTTTAAGAGCCTAAAGGATTTACATTGTACCACAGATACAAATGATGCAGCAGAGAATACCAAGATAGTGACACAACTTCGGTTGCTCCTGCTCCCTTTCCTACACCCCAGAAAGGGCACACGACATCTCCACAGAGCCTACATTCATACCCTTTGTGGCTGTGGATAACACATTTTATACCTCCTGAGTCCCCTGTACTGCTGGGGCCAGGATTCAGCATTGTAAAAACACATTAAAGTGCTCCACATGTCTGCTGCATACAACAAAATGTCATTTTCATAAAGATTTTCTTTTTCCTGCACAATAGACTGAAATAGAATTGACATGCACAATAGGCAAGAAATACTTTTCTTGCAGGAGATTTCAATCCATCAGATAAATACAATACATGCTTCAAATGTCCCTTACTTGAGGCTATGCTGATTGTATTAAATTTCTCCTGTTTCCCAGCTGACAGAAAATCTAAAGATTTTGTTTTAGTAAGACAACAGCCTAAAGGTTCCACTGCCTACAGATTCAGAGCTGAAACAGAGTGGGCATCTTTCCTTGGTTTGTAGTTTTAAATGCAAAGTCAAATATATCAATTTCATATTAGGAGGAATTATCATATTGTTTTCCTAAAAACCTAGCTTTCTACCATCCTGATTATTTTTTTATTATTATTGCTTTTGGAGGTGTGAAATTAACTTCTAGTAATTCAGACCTTTCCAGAAGAAATCTGCCATTTTAGAGCAAGGAGAATACAAAAATTATAGCTAGGTCAGCAATTCAGGAAGCAGCAAATACTGTACTTCTAGCCAGAATGCCCTTTACTTAATATTTTAAGACTAATAAAATGAGGAAGAGTAATTTATTATTTCTACACTGGTTTAAACATCCCTGGTTTAAACATCCCTTCTAGCTGAGTGACTGAGTTCTACATTGTCTCAGGGGGAACTGTTCATGATGTTGCTGAGCCAGAAATCACTGATGGTCTAACAGAGTTACATGAAGATAATGCTTATCTGAGACACTGATGAACCTCCTTTTTTCTTGCACTATACTCTTTAATGATTACTACAGGCAGAGATGGAAAAATTCTGAAATCAGCTATAAACACATAAATTTTATTTCATATACCTTACCTAGGTTTTCATTTTTTCTTGAGAAAAGGAATCAAACATCGACAGAAAGGGCAGGAGTTCTACAAATTGATTAAAAGTTTTAACAAGCTTGCATCAAGCAAACTCAACAAAAATAGCCCAGTGAACTACAGGAATCCATTTCACAATCTGCCAGTGCTTGAAATGCCTTTATAGATTCATATATAGGATTTTCTCTCTTCCATTTTTCAAAATTATCTACTTTTATTCATAAATTTTTGGTACCACAATTTTTCATGCAATCTAATCATCTAATGTCACATCATGCTAAATTTCAGCATGAAGACTGAAAGTCTCTGAAAGGCAGAACAGGAGAACCTCATGGCTGTCCATTTTCTAGGGAATTCCTGTCAAATGACAGGAATAACTCTGAATGGAATGCCAAAACTCCCAAATCCTCTGCAAACATCAGATTAACGGAACAGGCTTTATCACATGCTAACAAAGACAGTAAATAAGAGGATATAATCCAGTGGCTAGCACATGCTAAAACTGCCTTTGCTCTTATAATTTCCTCTTTTAGGCAGATTAAAGCCAGATGCACTAGTGCACACTGTGTTCACACCACCATTTTGTTCTGGAGACTTATTCACCATCCGTTCTCCAAAGAACTTGTAATCACAGCCTAAGCTGAGAACACAAGCAACTTCTGGTTTCAAAGGTGTGACGGTAGATACTTGTGAAGCTCCTAAATACAGAGGACTTAATGTTCAACCTTTCTGAAAGCAATGACCATTTCGAACCGCTTCATGCCCTATTGTGCATATAAAAATGGAGTTCCCAAGGTCTGAAGCACATATCTCCTCAAGATAAAAATATAATTTTGCTAACAATGGCCAGTCAGCAGCAGTACTCTGGAGGTATTAAAAAAAAGTTTTTTATTCACTGAATGAGTTTTCTGTTTGCTCTTAATGAAAGCTCTTATTTTCCTTCCCTAAAATCACAACATAAGTGCTATTTTGTGAAACTTCTTCTAACTCCAACTAAGAACAAGCAAGAATACAACAAATCTTCCTCTCCTATTGTGCAAATGTTCCACTGATTCCAGGCATGATGTTAGGGAAAATGTCAGTATTATAAATTAACCACTGCTACAAAGAAAAAATCCTTTTGGCATCTATTTGCATCTCAAGACAAATGAACAGACTTTTAATGAGTAAACTGTAACAAAAAGCTTATTTACTCAAACATATTTTAAATAAAATATTCTTAATATGTCATGAGATTTCCCCAGAACCTAGGGAGAAAAATCTCGCCAGCACTACAGTAAACAAAGAGTAAAGCATTTCTAATGCTGTAACCCAATAACAGCACCCAAAGTAACAAAGCTGCACTTCATTTTGTATTGATTTAAAAACCAAGGTTTCCTAAGAAAGTGTAAACTTGCATCGTATCTTATTAGGCTGCTTTTAGAGGTTGATGTACAGCAGTAAAAGTTCAGGAAGAGTGGTAAAATTCTCTTCTTGATCGCAGCTAATAAAACAGAAAAAACAATCATCTACATAGTGCAATACACTATTCAGCCTCCTACAGGGGCAGTTGTCCAAGTACTCCTGTAGTTACTATGAAAAAATAATGCTGAAGAGGAAGTGCAAAAGGATGAAAAAGGGAATTTCAATGACACTATCAAGGAGAAAAACTTCCTAGAATGGCAAAAACATGACCATAATGGTAAAAAGAGGTTTAAAAAAAGGTATTTTCTGTAGAAGACATAATAGATACTATAAAAAGTATTGCATGAAGCGCTGTTTCCAAAATGCTATTATTGCACCCAAGAACTTTTACCTCTGAAATACTAAAAAACCAAACAAAACAAAAAAAAAACCAGAGAGAATAAATTTTACTTGGTGCAGATACAGCAGACACCCCATGCATTTTAGAGGCAGATTTGTGGTTGATCGTATAAACCTTCCTCACAGCAGCATTTGCTAGAAGTAGTTTCAGAAACAAGACCATGTCTATGTCTATGTTTCTTCCTCTGAACAAAAGAGAGCATGCTGGAGCAGGTGGACTAAATTAGGAATTGAGCTATTAGTTCAACAGCACAGACTGTAAGAGACCAGATGGTCCCGCTCCCTCCCTGCCCTCACTCCCAGCTTTAACCAGTTACTCCTGCCAGCGCTCTCCCAGGCAAATCTCCTTTAGAGGGGGTGAGACCTAAGCAGTGAGGACATAAGCCAGTCCATGCCACTCAGCCTCAGAGCCAAGGGTAGGTCTTTGACCCTCTTTTATTCATATACATAGATATAACTGTTGAGAATATAGGAAAGAAGCAGTACAAGTCCCATGGTCCTGTGTTGAATCTGATCTATTTCATTACATCCTGATTTCTGTGATGCAACAAAAGATCTGAAAACAATCCAGAGTGAAAACATTTGGAAAGTTTTTGTACCTGTTTCAAACACAGAATTTGCTATGTCACATTTGCTAGGGTATTTATACATCTGAGTCCTCCTAAAATTGTCAATATCTCATTCAAGAGAAATGTAAAATTGTTTCTTTTCAGTGTGGTTGTTTAATTGCTTCCCATGTTTACACCCACTTCTAAAGGTTCTACAGAGACTATGAGTTTCTGAGTATTTAGGAAAATGACCTCCATTACAGGTGCTAATTATTCTTTTTTAGAAAAGAATGTTTAAATAGTTGCACAGATTTCATATTTAAAAATGTAAAATTTAGCTATCAAATCCTGAGCCAGGAATATTACGGAGTCTCCAAAGTCATCATCCAAACAAACTAATTGCAGCACATTTCAAATATTTTGAAGGTAAACATTCGGTTTATTAAATACTATGAACTTTCAAAGACATTTTCCAACCTGGGCAGTACTTAATTAATTAGAGTGTGTTCAGTTAATTAGGAAACATCCTTTTTTGGTACAGCAATAGAAACATAATTGACTCCAAATAAAAAACAAAACACAACAAAACAAAACAGAAAACCCTAGAATTTTATACTACAATTCCCTCATCCCACTTGCACAGGTAATTTCACACTAGCCCGCACACTACATTGAATTCCTTTAAATTTATTTATTTGGGGGGTTTATGATGCCTGGTGTCCCTACAGACATGCCCATTATATTACTGCCCCTGCCATCGTGCTGCTTGGTGGTGGTGGTGGTGCAGAGGCAGAAGGAGAGCAGAGCTGCCCCATCCCAGGAGGGGCTGCCCCTTGCATCCTACGCAGACTGTCTCCCTGCTGCCCCCAGCGCACCAGAGACGGGTGACGCACCAAGGGATACTGGGAGCACAGTGTCAGAGGCAGAAGTGGGACTTGATGCCCCCTTGTTCAGGGATGGCCGGGATAGCTGAAAGCGTGGAAGACTCATGCAAACGCCAGCTCCCTGCAGAAGCTGAAGGTGAGCACCTGCCAGCAGTGGCTCTGCCTGTCCACGGGGCAGAGAGGGCCACGTGGGTGGGAGGAGGTGGTGGGACCGGGACAGTCCTGCTGGCAGGTGTCTGGAGACCTGCAGTCCCACCCAGCACCAGCCACCATAGCCTTCCCTTTGGGACCAGTCACCCAGCAAAATGAAACGTTAGAAGAGCCAAGTGTTGGAAGTTAAAATCCATCATTGCACCCTGGGGAGATCATGCTGTTGGCAGGAGGTGGGAGCCAGCTGCAGGCCATGCTGCATGGGGGGCACCCCCCTCTCACCCCCCACGTCCCCTTGGGCTGCGGGTGAAGGACAAAGTCTCTGCCTGCAGCGGAGTCGTGTATGACGTGGGTCTACAGGGGCAATGCCGCCTCTCACATTGTGGGGTTTTGCATATGGACAAGTATTTCTGATTTGAAATTTCTGAAAAGGAATCGAATTGTCTCAATATATTTAACTTTTGAAAGAAAGCCTATTCTGAAAAAAAAAGTTTGGATTTTCATCTTCATTTTCACATTTTTCTTTTTTTCCAACTTGCTGCTGTCTCTTTACAGTCCTCCATTGTTTTGCTTCCTTCTTCACTTTGCCATTGACAAGGAAATCCTCCTCACCACCACAAAAAAAAAAAAAGGAAACCAGTACTCTCAGTCTGTATGAAAATGTCTATTCTTCATCTCAATTTTGTCCTCAAAAGATCACTCTGTTCTGTCTGATCATCCTACTAAGAGAGAAACAAGGTAGTGGGAAAAGTGGATTATGTTCTGTTTATATATGACTGTCTGGGGGAAGAGAAAGTTCAACACTGCATAAGTCAACATCAGTACTTAATTTTAGTAGCCAAACAGCTTGCAGTACATACCTTATTTCTCAGCTCCTGCTTTGAAACAATAATCACATTTGGAGGATCCCCAACAGCTGTGGCAGCCCCCCCAATATTTGTGAAGATTACTTCTGCAATCAGGACATGCCTAGGATCAAGATTAAGTACTTCACAGAGCCTGCAGTATAAAGAAAATGAAATTAACCTCTTACCCTATGACTAAATTACCTTAAATCTTAAAATTTATTAAATTTACAAAATACAGCCATTTCACTGAAAAATTGCAAGACTTTAAAGATAATATTTTTGTGTGTATATTGTTAAAGTTTTAATTATGCTACATTATATGTGCCACAGTAATTATAGCAATATAAATGCAAAAATTATAGATGTTTTTACATTTATAATACAATAATTAATGGTTACAAAATTGATGCATTTAAAAAACCTTTTCATTAAAAGTAATGAACTATTACAAGAATTGGACTGCACAGAAAATAGATTTCAAATTTTCAGCATCATTCAACTTTTTAAACCGCGGTCCCCAGGCTACGCTGACCTATGGAAAACTATTCTGGGCAACCACAGGCTCTGCACTCAGCATCAGTTATTAACTTTCTTGTGGGGAGCAGTGGTAGAGGATTGTGCAGACAACCTACTAGCCATGAATCATCTATTAGAGACCTCAGCTTTCAGCCTAGGTTTATCCAGTTTATTCTTTCTTATTTTTCCCCTTCTCTAAAGTTTGATCATGAGTATTTCTATTTGTAATGCAATAAGAGTAGAAAACACACATTCCTCATTATTAAAAAAGTCTCAAAATGTTTTTAGCTGTTCAAAAATATTTAATGCTTCTTTAGTAAGTTGCTTCTTTAATAAGAAAAAGTAAAATGCTTCTTTAATAAGAAGCATCTTAAAGCTCTCTGGCAAATACCGGGATTGACTCAGTAACCTCATGATCCATTTCAACTCAGAGCCCATTTACACACAGTAATCTTCACACAGATTACTTCAACTCTCACAAATTACCTTTACGCACAGATCCACACAATCTGCTCATTTCTGAAGTACACGTCTGACTTTATACTTGGGCTGTGGTATTACAGGCTGAAAGTTAAGGTCACACCTAAGCACTTTGGAATAAGGAACGACTGCTTTCCTGCTCATGGCTTATCAAAATGTTGCTCCAGTATGTAAAGATGGAGGCCACACTTAAATTATCGCCCCCTCTACCTAATACGGGATGGGGGGAAGAGTGGGCAGCAGGAATGCTTCCTCAGGATTGCTTTTGCTGTAGTGCTGTCACACGTTTCCCTGAAGGAAGAGTTGAGCTTTACTGTTCATTCTCAGTCTGTATTATTAAAACCTGTATTTCAAGGAGAAGAGAGTGTATTGCACAAAAGCTTAACTTGATACATTCATGCTGTCACCAAGAGTGTCAATTTAAAACTCAGTAAAAACAGTCACATGACATGTGTCAGCACATAAAAATTGCAGAACAAAATAACTGTGCAAAAATACACTATTTCCCCAACAGCATAAAATTATGCAGTTAAAGGATACTTTGTAGTACAACTGGCCCAATTGTATCAATTGTGGTACAAGACCACAGTTGTAATGTTAACTTCATCACTCCTTGATTTCCAAATGTTTCAAAATAACACCTTAACTTTTGTTTAGTGATTCTTTCTTTTTGATGGGCCTAGTGTTAGCATGAAGAGAGAACCTCCGAGATAAGCCAAGAAAGGCCAAGCCCAAAGTATAAAACCATCAGAATGTGTTAGCTATACGGTAGGATCAAACTTCTTCAGTTTACTTAACCCTGGTTATATAATTCTCCACATGAACAACCATTAGCCTTTTCCAGTTCCCAATAGCAACGTATCTTGAAAATAAATTATAGCTAAAAAGGGGTAGTTATTAATTTTTTTATCAGCTTGCTACAAAATTCAGAGTGAAACATGTATCATGTTTTACGCCTTATTAATGGAAATATAAATCCCTATATTCATAGATTCAGTAGGATTTTCTGCAAGCTTTATCTCCATGGCAATGACAGCGCAGTGCAACATAGTGAAGCTGTAGACAAGGGCTGAAGACAATGGCAGTAAGATTAAAAAAAAAAATGACCTCCAGCATGAAGCTTTTAGAAACAGGCAATTATTTGGTTTTACTAGACGAGATAAAATTTTATTTTAGCTTTGATAGTGATTCAAATACAAATGTTTCCCACATACTGAGTTCCCCCTTCTTCAGCATTATAAACTCATTTAGTATAAAACTAAAGTACTTCGTATACATTTAGCATAAAACTTGGGTACTTAAAGGGCGGCTACAAAGGCAGAGGCTCTCTCTTCACAAGGAGCCACCTGGAGAAGACAAGGGGCAACAAGTACAAGTTGCACTGGGGCAGATTTCATCTCAACATAAGAAAATAATTTTTTATGGTGAGAGCAATTAGCCACTGGAACAACCTCCCCAGCGACATGGTAGAGTCCCCATGGCTGGAGGTTTTCAAGACATGAATGAACAGGGTGCTAGATAATCTCATCTAGGCTCCCTTTCCCGTGAAAGTTGGACTAGATGGTCTTTCGAGGTCTGTTCCAACCTGGGCTACTCTGTGATTCTTTGAAAATGGAATAAATGCTACAGTACCTCTGCCTGTGAACAGTAGTTCGTGATGCATTGATGGCTGGATTTCCATCCATTCCCAATTATAGTTAATTCAAAACATTTTGCAACACAGCTAAAGAAAACTTGATGTTTAATAGTTCCAGTGTTGCTTACTGTTAGAGGTGAAATTATTGATTGGAGTAAGGCAAAGTGATCTCCTTAAAATATAATCGGACAGAAGACAAATGGAGCTTTAATTCACCAGCTGTTTCCCAATCTAGAATAAATTCCACTTGCAAAATTGCTTTTTACTGCTTTACACTACATTTTAAAGTGGGAGCATATCTTAATAGAATTTTGTATACTTTAATGTGATAATGACTGCAAGCATTACATCACTCAGGATCATTTTAAAAACACACTAGTTCTTTCCAAAACTGAACTGGATTAACCAGGTTTGCCTGGCCAGACACAGGTTAAATTCAAGTTAAACACTAATTTATAATCACACATTGATTAAATGCAGTTGCAAATGACGTGTTATTAATTTACAGAAATCTGAAGTAATTAAATTCGCTGTTCTCTATTAAATGTTCCAAATATCTAACCTCAAATTGTGGAATTAACCACTTGCTGTACAAATGTCATGGTCACCAGCAGGATGAAAATTCAGTTGCATATTCTAAAACAAAGATTTTAGTTGAAATCTGGAGATTTTTTAAATTTTTTTGTCACTAGTATTAGAAGGGATAACAACTTCACTAAAACATAAATTACTATCTAAAATTGTATACAGATATTAGCCAGTAAAGGACAAGGCAGCTTTAATTAAAAAATTCTCCCTGCTTACAGGAAAAAAATTTCATCTACTAGGGAGCATTTGGTGCAACATGCTATTGCAGTTCAGATATGGAGACAAACCAGAATAGTTAGCTGCCAAGGCAGTGTAACAGGCTTCAGATGTGTGCTCACTATTAACACAAAGGGAAAAGGCAACCAATCCCTTTGAAAACATTAGCTCTTTACCCTACTACAATAGGAGTATTTGAAGTTTTTATTTCCATTTTGATGATTAAAAAGAAGTTCAAACAAGCATTGTGCACACATGTCTACTACTGATTGCCGGCTATAAGACCAGGTCCAAAACCATAACAATAAAGTACCTTATGGTTACTGGAGTAAAGAGCAGCATAGTGGTAACATTGTCCAAAAATGCAGAAAGAATTGCAGCAATGAGGCACAGTAGCGTAATCATGGCCCACACCTTGCCTCTAGAGAGTTGATAAGCCTAATAAAACCAAACAAATAGAAACAAAATTAAGGGACTAGATCACTCCAGCTTAGTTTTCAAAAATGTTAGATTAAACAATTTCACCAAAGATGAGGCAACAGTGAGCTCAGAGCATTTACTACTCCATGACCTCTAATAGCACCTTCTCCAATATTAATTAACTCAGCAAGAAAACATTTCCTGCAAGTGGGCAAACATTTCTATCATGCAGAGGAAGAAAGAGGTCTGAAGAGACACAATGCTCCGCTGCCGGGCATGAAAGGGGTCTGTGTCAGGAGCAGGGCTGAGCCCCCATCTTCTGGCTGCATGTCTGGGTGGACTAACGTGGTTCAGAGCTCCCACCCCCTCCACACGCTGGGACACCTTCCCCATCGTCAGAGCAGCACTGCCGGCGCTACGTAGTCTGGGCAGCTATGTAGGCAGGGGTTGTGTCCACCCATGTTTTCTTTAGGGGTTCTGTGCTCAGAGCAGTTCTTGTCACTTTTGTTTTCTTTCTTTCCACCCTTCTCAGGAAAATTAAGCTTTGCAGCATGTGAAGGAGTCCCTCACCACAGGCAATACTTGCTTTACAACCAATCCATCAGAATTGCCCTTTTCGTGTAATCTTTGGTTCTGCTACTGTGCAAAGGTCTGTGGCCGTTTTTCATGTGTGATTGTAAAGCTAATGATGGTTCCCATATTTCCTCTCTCCCCCTGCCAGGCATAAATACAGATTTCTGTTACAGCAGAACAGCAGTCTTGGGGAAGTCAGGGGAATAACTCAGCTTTATTTTGTCCATATGCTTGTGTACCCTACTGGGGACCTTTGCCTTTCTCCTGTAGAAACAGCATTGCCTTAAGGGCTTCCTTTCATCCCTAAGAGATTTTTCAAAATTACAAGTTGACCATTGTCATTTCTAACATGATAAGTATACACTGCCCTAGGAAAGGTCCTTCAAAGATAGTGCTTGGTGCAAGAGATCTGATTAAATACTAACTTGATTAATCCAGTAATAATTAAGAGTGCCAAAACAAGCCTACCTTTACTGCACAGTAGTCAAAGAATCCAGTCTCTGAAAATATGGCCACCAAAACCATCTACCAAAAATGAATAAAAAGAGAATAGCTTGCAACTGAATTATTTACACAAAACCAAAACAATGTAGTTTGTGATTCTGACAAAAGTCCTTCTTATCTGACACAACTCTGAAAATCTGGTCACCTACATACCAGGATATCCACTACAGCTGCCAGATATCTCCTGTTAATGCATCATATGGTGAAATTTAGTTCTCATCATTAACAGTCTGCAAATGTCATACTAGTCTGGTTGAATTTAGTTTGTACTGACTAAATGGACATCATACATTAAGTACTTAATGTATCTCCTTTATGTCATTAATCAAGAAAAGCCAATAAGTGTGTTTGCTTTCTGCTCTACAGAGTGCAGAAGATAGCAGCTCCAAGAATTTCTTGCATTTTTCCACATTTCTGGGAGGTTTCCTGTCCTTCCATCTTTGCTCCCAACAGATTTTTTTTGTTGTTGTTTTCTTTTTCTGTGGGGAAGGCAGGAAGCAGGGACCAGTGTCAAGAAATAAAAGCTCAGAATGGCAGCAGATAATTGTAATTTTTTCTCTGTGTATTTAATATTTTGTGTTAGAGTTTAATAGCACTTGGACAACTCTCTTTACCATAAAAAGCTCTGTGCAAAGTGGTTAAAATAATATATGATTATGATCTAATCAGATATTTCTCCTCCATTTCTGGTTTGCTTTTCTTTTGCTCCAAACAGCACTGACTAAGGCAAAGAAAACCACTTTTCCAGCAGAGTGTGTTTGAGGAAGGTTTTGAGTAAACAAAATTAACAAGATAAATGAGAATGATAATACTTCGCATTTAAACAGGTCTTTCCATTTACAGACCTCAAGGATGTTTTTAGTATGTTATCAACACAATTTTACAGATTTAAAAAAAAAAATTAGAAAGGGTTCAACACTTTCAAAAGGCTCCTTCAGGGGTGTGATCAACCTCCTTTTCGATAAATCCTTTAAGACCCAAATTTTCATCATAACATGTCTCAGTGAAGTACAATTTAAAAAATCTTTAAAAGGGAAACATCTCTATATTGAATGTGATTATTTTAGCACATTTAGAGCAAAAGATACATTTTAGTTACCATTCCAAAGAGCAGCGCCAGTGTCTCATAATCAATCCACTCCACCACTTTGACCATACTTGGCCTCTGCAATCAGAAAATACAATTACCAGTGAATGCCATGAAACACCTAACTTGTGATTAGCTATGAAATATAAACTCCACTCAATTGATGAACCATTTAAATAAGCTATGATGGAAATTACTAAGTGTTCCTATAAGGTACACAAAAAGGTCTCTCTATTATTACCATTATTGCTATTATTATTACTACTATTATTGTTATTACTAATTCAAAGTACTGCTGCCATCCTATGTGGGTCACTATCAAAAGCTTACATTAGACTATTGGTTTATCTAGTTGTTCCTTATGTAGCATTATAGAAATAAAAGATAACCAAATTACATGGTACAGTCCAGTTTCCTTTTTGGTAAGAGAACAAAAGCAGACTGCTTCACCTGTGAACAAACTGGAGGGAATTTAAGGGAACATGGCAATGATGTGGTGACCAGTTATGAGAAAAAACAGAGAAAAATCAATCAGAGGTTTCACTAAATATCAACTAAGAGTAAGCAGGGGGGAAATAAAAGGGTTGGAAGATGTAAGCATGAGATGTAATTATTTAGGGTAGTATAAGGCAATGTATTTCCATTTCGGTTTGCTTAGTAACCTAACATTACTGAAAATAACAGTGTTAAAGTAACTCGGAATTAAGCTAAAAACGGTTGTACTCAGCTTCCCGCAAATCAGAACAAAATAGCTACAACTGACTTTTTTCTACTGTTCTTGCCTATACCTTAGGCTGACTTGTTTTCCCCAAGATGCTTCCCCACCCCGCTGTCTGCCCTACCATCTCTCTCTCCTAAAAAACACTGCTCTGTTATGTGCCCAGTCACAACAGGGCAAACAAGGAAATTTATGATATCATACCCAGAAACGAAGTGAGCACTTACAGTTTGATAACTTACCTCCCCAACAGTAGCTAAGGCGGCTAAAGCTGCCAGAGAGCCCAGCATCGCTGCGAGGGTCCTGTGAACAATCTGCAACAAAGGGTAAGAACTGACCAGAGACTCCTCTAAACATCTCCTTATTATTAAAAAAGAGGGGGGGAGAGGATAAAAATTCCTGTAGCTGATTCTTTTCTTGGTTTTTGGGGCGGGTTTGTTCCTTATTCCACCCACCTCCCTTCAAAAAGACCTGACCAGAGAATGGCTGATTACTTTGCCTCACTATAGGATGTAATTCAAAACAAAACAAAACAAAACAAAAAAAAAAGCCACACTTGCACAAAACCCTGCTAGGAAGTCTTAGCTCTGATCTCAAGGCAGAGAAGGGACTTCAGTACCAGTTTCTTGAATTTGCCAACAGGTGACCCAAGATGGAAAGCAATTCATCTTCCTTTACTTAAGGATCAAAAAGCCTAGTCCTGTTGGCTTCCCTTCACAGCCCATGGGAAGAAGACACGTTCCCAGGAGGTGATCCACCCCATTCTTTATAGGTGTTTGTTCATCTCCAATGTCTACAAAGCAATTCCCAAGCAAATAGCTCAGACCCAGGCAAGTTGCATCCTACTCATACACAGATATACTAGACTTTGAGTTTACGCATCCAGTGTGTAGTCTGGGGCACAGACAGGTCTGTCAAGCCTGTACACCCGTTTTCTGTCTCACACACACAGAGTTTTCTTCCTTCATAGAGTGTTGTTGTTTGGTTTTTTTTACATCAGCATTTTCTCTACAAATTTTGGCTTCAAGACTAACCCAGCCTTGAACAGTGCTTCTCCTCCATCTCTAACGTTTCTCTAGCATACAAGCAATGCATCTGAAAATAGCATCCAAACCCTTGACCACAACACATGCATTTAATACTGCAGCAATTACTACAGTATAGGGACATTTGTCCACATCTATGTATCTAATGAATAAATTGCATTTAAAATTCTCAAGGAGAAGGTATAAAAGCAAGCATGCCCTGAAAATGTGTTTTTTTGTCCAAGTGCTCATTTGCAGTTATTTAATCCACAACTGGAAGATCACAGATAGTGTAAAATAACTCTGTTAAAGTGAGAATGTAATAAATGAAAATCACACTACAAAAGATGAAATTTAACAGCATTTATGTATTGGTTTTATGTGGCAAGGTTTTGGTAGCGGGGGGGGTTACAGGGGTGGCTCCTGTAAGAAGCTGCTGGAAGCTTCCCCTGTGTTCGAGAGAAAACGAGCCCATACCAGCCGGCTCTAAGACGGACCCGCCACCGGCCAAGGCGGAGCCAATCAGTGATAGTGGTAACACCTCTGTGATAACATTTTTAAGAAGGAAAAAAAAAGTTGGGACAGGGAGAAAACAGCCGCAAGAGAGAGAGGAGTGAGAATATGTAAGAGAAACAGCCCTGCAGACACCAAGGTCAGTGAAGAAGGAGGGGGAGGAGGTGCTCCAGGCGCCGGAGCGAAGATTCCCCTGCAGCCCGTGGGGAAGCCCATGGTGAGGCAGGCTGTCCCCCTGCAGCCCAGGGAGGTCCACGGTGGAGCA